TACGATAGGTGCACGGTAGGAAGTCAAAACCATGAATTCGGCTGGAGTTCGGTCTAGAGAACTTATTCCACATGCTGATTACGAATTTCATACTCTCTCTGCATATTGGGACCTCTTCATAGAGTTAGGGTGGTTACATACGGTGTGGGGTCGAAAACATAGATTTGCTTCAAACTTCGTCTAGGGTGCTCATTTAGCGCGCTGAACATAAACATCATGTTGATTTCGCAGAATGGTGCATTTTCTTGGGTTACGGTGGGTGTAGATGGGTCGAAGTTCTAGATTTGCTCAAAACCTTACCTATAACGGTTCACAAGCATACTGCTTATGAATATGAAACTTGCTCGCTGTCATAACGCATTAGTGAAGTTATGGTGAGTTGCAGGATTTGAATGGTCAGGGCCAATTTAGGTCCCAGATATTCATGAAATGGGGAAACGGTCGTTTTGCATGGCGGTCTCCAACGCCATCCTGATAACCTGTCCCAACGTGTAACGCACGCGGCAAATCCCCCCCCCCCCCCCTGATTTGCTTAGGCAAAAGCAGCCGAAGGGTGTATCGCACGCGGCAAATGCCTCTCCCCCTATTTCTGCTTAGGCAAAAGCCGCCGAAGGGTGTATCGCATGCGACAAATCTCCCCCCCCCTATTTCTGCTTAGGCAAAAGCCGCCTGTATCGCGCGCGGCAGTGGTCCTATAAGGAAAGCATTACGGTCGTGGGAAACTTTTATACCACACGAATTGCCTTTATCGCGGGGACTGAGGACGATATTCTTTGAACAGCACTTTAGGTAATTCCCTGCCAAGGTTTCAGGCAGGTTTATGATTTTTACCCGCTGCCACGCGATGACTATGATATTGTCATCAGCGGCTCAAATAACCTCATATACCGAGTTTGAGCAAGATCCGTTATAAAAACATTTTGGGGCCCGGATAGCCGAATAACGCCACCAGTTTTTAGAATTATCCTTACTTTTATCGATTTTATTGTTTTTTGGGCAAAGTTTGAGCTACGGGGCTGGGGGGTTGGTGAGGAAGGTAGGTGAGCATACTGATTACTCACGCAGCGGGAATAGGGAATGTAGAAGTGGGCACAGGTAAAGGTGTACAGGGATAGAAATGGAACCTTTGTCGTTTTTGACAGGGCCAGGCGGAGCCGGGTAAGCCAGCTAGTAATCGAATAAACATTAAAAGTAGATATTCGAATGTTCGAGTAACTTCCAAGACCAAAGTTCTCGAATAATAAATTCGAAATTGACAAATTCCGAATGAGCGGGTATCAAATATATTCGAGATTTTGAAATTTTCAAGAAATATTTCGAATGAAATTTGTTCGAATACTCATTCAAATACTCGAAAACTTGTTTGATTCGGTACAAAGCATACTAGACAGACTAAAATCATAGTGCAAATAGATATATGAAGCGTAGAAAGCTTTACTAGATGAACGAAGCAACTGGCATGTGAGATCACATGTCCGCTCATCTCAACCCAAGATGCTCCTTGAGCGCTTACGCAATGCGCATCTAGAAGGCGAGTGCGTTATGAAACCTTCGACGTTCTTCCCTCTACACCAACGTCTCCGGTGCAGATGCTATACAGAGTATATGAGTTTTTGAGTGAACATCATAGCTCGTTCAATTTACACGGTTTTAACATAAGAGCCATGAAGCTGCTTGACAATTGCCTCAAGTATTCCTCATTCCGCTGTTCTAGGCAATACCACAGGTGAGTTAGGGGTTTAGCCATGGAACAAAAAATAGCACTTACAGTTGCTTTAGCCTCTATGTCCTAAAGGAAGGTCCTGTTCATTCGCGTAAGGCTCTTCTATACTGCCTCTATAACAACGCTTGCAGCATTGCGTGTTCTACTCAGAAAGAAGTTGACACATCGAAATTCACAATATTCGATCGCATCAGCATCAGATTCATCCGCGAAAAGCCTAACGAAAAAGGGCTTTCTGAACTCGAGTGTATCTGTTTAGTGGAACATGGTGTATATAGTAGTACAGATACATTGTTTCCGTAAACCGACTAGTAAGTAGATAGATTATAGTTCAGCAAATCCGCGCAACATGAAACCAAAATCCCTAGAGCCAGCCAGATGTATTGCTGCTGCGAATGAGTGCGAGCTGACAACAGTCTTTGTTGCGTACCATGTAAAAGAGCATCACGTATTCTTGAAACCAAATCCCTTTTGCATACCTTCGTTGCGAAAAACCTCAGCAAGTTGGTTAGGGCATAATCGAGCCTTCAAGGTACGTCAGACTCATGAGCATTGCTCTTCTTACCCTCAAGAAGCAGCTATAACGCAATGTGATTATGGCAATCTTTGTATGTACTATTATCAATGTACTGACGTACCAACTCTTGAGTGGTACGTCAGTACAAGCTGGGAATGCACGAAGGCATTGAGAATGGCCCATCCCAACACATCCCAATCATGTAGCGAAGAAGCGAGCAAAATAGGGCGAGCGGTGTGCATTCGGATCAAGGAACACTTGGACGGACTCGCAGAGAATGGGGCATACCTTCGATATATAGAGCCATGTACGTTGATAACCTTCACTTTGAACGTCATTATAGAACACAATCTTCACCTGGAGAGAAGTACAGAAGTTATCCGGGGCGACCCGGATATTATGACATAACTAATGACATAACCATATAGGGATGAATGTGAATGAGGGTGACATCCAAAAGAAGCTCAAAAAACGAAGAATTGCATTTTTATGGCCTTTTTTGCTGAAAAAAAGTTTTTATTCAAAAATTCAATTAGAAACTGGAACAAAATTACTCATTTAATCTTCCTCTAGACTGCGATTGAGAGATGGAAGTTCATGAAAGCCGCTGGAGTGCAGTAAAACCGAGAAACTGTGCTCAAATCTTGCGTAGGTAGACGCCACATAAATTCTGGTCTATCATGGAGTGATTTTTAAGACCCGCGACGTTGTCAGTGCTCCTGGTAGTGTTATGAGGATCATAACAACGATATATAATGTTATAGGGTTTTGCCATTTCCCCGCGGAGATCAATGACCAAAGCCAAATACCCCGCCGACTCTGGTCTGTCTCCGCTGCTCGTCTGCGTCTCGCGTTGCGCGCTACCTCGCTACCTCAAATGCGGGGCGCCGGGCATTTGGCTCTGTTAACCTTTTCTTCGTTCTTCGGAGCCCAATTACGCCAGTCTATATAACACATTAAAGCTCTTGATCTCCATTTTCACGCTGACAACGTCGCAAGACTCCTTTTTATGATTTGAACGAGAAATCTGGAAAAAACGGCGTTTTCGAAAACCTCTTGTTTTTTCTTCAATTTAACTCTTTTCACTCGGTTTTTTGTGTATTCAATAGGACTTGTTTCTGTCTATGATGTAGATAACGCCGCCGACCTTACTTCTTTGCTTATGCCGGGTTTTCTTGCGAAAATTACTAAAAAGTGCGTTTTTCTTTACCTTGTTGTCTTTCAGTTCTTTCGCAACGAATTTTCTCCAGCTTTGATGATACTTGCTCAGAATGATAAGCGCAAGAATCCAGACAACGTCGCAGGATACGAAACGACTATGCAGGGGTGAAAATTTAAAGGACGCATCAAAAATCAGATTGGCGTCGATGTGCAACATATCTTTTCAGACGTGTTTAACACGCTCAATTCAGTTGTTGACAAGTTTTCCTTCTTATTTCGGTCTCCCTACTACCGCCACAGCTAAACAGCGTTTTTTTAATTGGAAAAGAACTTTGTTCTTGTTGCCACCCAAGTTAACCAGCGATCTTGAAGGAGAAACTGTGCGTAGGAAAAAACCACCAAGTTAAGGTTTTAAATTTGGTGATGTGCTAACCTCTGCTTTATATGAATTTTTCGAGTTCCCTGGTTTAATTTAATTCATATCTCTAAACTTCCATCTATTTTTCTGAAACAACCTTCACTTTTTATAGGGAGCAGGAACTCAGACAACTATCACTTTCTAGGCTCTGTCTCTTGACTAGCAAAGGCATGGAATGGAGACAGCATTAACTTCCTTGGCCGCGTACAACAGTGCGCATCATGAAACGCTACGTTCGACGGCTGTCACGATCTTATCGCACAAACCCCAGACGAGAAAAAGGATTCAAATTCCATTTTCTTTCATTGGTTTTTTTACGTTAGTCAGTGACTTTATGCCTTTCATCTGCTGAATCGAGCTTAAATGTTGACATGCTGCGAACAGCGGTGTAATTGTTGATTATTTCCATCCGGAAGATAGCAGAAACAAACATAAAGCAGTGGTCAAGAAAAATAACGTTTGGGCTTATAATACTACAAGCTGCACTGTCTGTGTAAACTCGCCTGCCAGCTGGGGCGGTGCTACCGGTACACCGCTTATTGACACCCGGCAATCAAGGGGCCACTATTGTCAGCAATCGTTATTCTTGACATATACCGTTGAAGTTATAAGCGAACCGTCCGAACCCTTTGTGGTGATCTGCTAGGTCGAGGCCGGTCCAGCGGCGCTTTTCTGTGGGTGATCGCTTACTCTTGAATCCAAGGCCATAAGGTACGCATGGACTTGTTTCGTATCTCTCGTTTTTTTCTGGTTCTATCAGTTCTGAGTCTTATCGATGTGGTGGACATGGAGAATTTGTGAGGACAGATTACAAATATCTTCGTTTTCACTCTGAAGGAACACGGAGACTCCAGAACGTCCGGATAAATCTGCGTAACAATCTTGGTCTTACAATTAGCTACAATCTAATTGAAATAACTCCATCGGAAGGTGGCAAGAGATGATAGCACATGGCAGCAGTAGGCAACAGCAACAAAGTCAGTGCACTTATCTTCCTTCTCAAACTCAGACCATACCTCCTAACTTGGAGTGCAGGTATCATCAAAATGTTGTGTGCAAACCTGCACTTTTGACTTTGACTATAAATCCTACAATTATAACTTCAAAACGCACCTAATCATGGTTTTGTTTGGAACGAATCTCAGTTCTTGCTTGGCAAAAGTTTGCGGTTTTTAACGCACCTCCACACTCTCCTTAGCTTCTTCTTGTCCGGGTTGTTTCTGAGGTGTGTTTTTCACAAGTGAATACATCAGTGCCCTGAGATGCAAATTCCAAAATTCCTGTGAAAGCTATGCAACTTTATGAGTTGAAGTTTTCTAGTATTGAATAATAAAGTAGCAATAAAATCTTCCTACTAAGCAGCTGCAGTGGTGCGTTTCGAATTTTACTTGCTCAGTGCTCATACACATTAATATAGTCGGAAGTCACCCCTAATCTCGGGATTTTAGATTCCTTACTTCTACACTTCCTTCCCCTCCCTCTCACCAGCTTCCCTCGGTCTATCACTGGTGCATACATATCGGAGAGTTCTCATAAGTTTGGACCTTCTTGATTTGTACGATTAGAACGCTCAAAATGTGTCATAAAGTGAAGAGAGCAATTCATACCATTGCCTCTTCTCTTTTTTGAGCCAAATATTGTAAGAACGTATATGTAATAGGCTGGCACACAGGTTTTGCAACTAATTTCGTCACTTTTCGTGATGCATTCATTGATTTGGATTAGGTAGTAGGCTGCAAATGTTGAAAGCTGGTCAAATTCGAAATTTTTAGCGTCGGAAAACTAAAAATAAGGCCGTTCACAGTATGAATCAAACGCATCAAGCCAAAACTAACTGCACAGATTATCAAAGGTTCCTCCTTGGGTCTGGGCACCATACCCTCCATACATAGAGCCATATACTCTGGCAAACTTCACTTTGACCGTCATGGTAGAACGTAACCTTCACCAGGAGAAAAGAACAGAAGTATTCGGGGCGAAGCCCCGGATGTGACATAACTTTACAGGAGTGAATGTGAATGAGGCAAGTATAGTGAGTGCATTTGAAAAAAAGCACAAAAAATTAAAAATTGCGTTTTTAAAGCCTTTTCTATCGAAAAGGTTTTTTTCGAAAATTTCCCTAGAATTTAGAACGACAATTTTCAATTAACGTTTTTATAGACTACGATTGAGTGCTTGAGTCCAATAAAGCTGGAGCTCAATGAAAGCGAAAAACCGCGCTTAAATCCTGCGCATCGTTAGGTTCCAGTCAGGGCCCGGCATAGATCGTCTGGAAGCAGGTTGTACTTCGTTTTTGGAGCATAAAGCAAAGGAGATATCACCCTACACATTCAAAGGAGATGTCGTTTTTGACGAGTCGGGGCCCAGCACCAAGAATAAGCGCCATTTAGTCGAATACAAGCTTTTCGGACAGGTTATAATACGATTGACATGATCTATCTTGTATGGTGAGTGCGCCCGATTTGAAAGCAAATCTAAAATAAGCAAATTGCTTGTTTACAGCGCACACAGAATCGACACCAAAACTGAACTGTGTACATAGAAAATTATTTGCAAAAGAATTATGTAAAAAAGTTTGAAAACTTATGTGAAATAATACGTTTACCAAAATTAGATCGTCTCCAGGCAGCCACCAGACGATCTGAGATCGTCTGGAGCATATATCTTCGTTACTTCACATAAGTTCCGGATCTTTTTAGCATGGACGAATTTCCTGGTCAAAAATCTATCCCTGATAAGAAGACATTTCCTATCATTGCCTTTTCTTTGTTTCATGCCTTCATGTAGCTTTGTGGAATATCGCGCTCCTGCCGATCTCCTATACATGCTTAGTATTCAGCTCCCATTTGGAATTTCACTCTTATTTCAAATTTTTTCTTCCAGACTAGTAAGTCTTTCTTGTCATCTTCTCCCAAGCAAATAGGCCAAATGGAACTTCGTAAAACTTCCGAAAGTCAGGGGAGACTTCGTTTTCAGAAACCTTAGAAACCGACTATTGCCGGACCCTGGTTCCAGCCGATTTATGAGAACCACATGCCCCGTCGGCTCTGATGTCTCCGCTGCTCGTCTGCGTCTCGCGTTGCGCACTACCTACCTCACTACCTTCAAACGAGAAGAACTAGCAAACTGTATATAAAATTGAAGCTCTTTATCTCTACTTTCGCGCTGACAACGTCGCAGACTCCATTTTCTGATCTGAACGAGGAATTTTTCAAAATTCGTGTTTTCAGTATCCCTTGTTTTTTCTTGTTTAGCTCTTTTCAAGCGGATTTTTCCTGCAGTTCATAGACCTTGCTTCCTTCATAATGTAGACAACGTCCGGGATTAACTTACTCGATGTGGTGAATTATCTAGCCAAAGCTGCACAAAGTGCGTTCCTGTTCACAGGCATTTATTGGAGTTGGTAAGCAACGATTTTTTACAAGCTTGGAAGCATTTTGATCAGGATTATAAGCACAACGCTGACAACGTCGGGAAACAGAAATTACGAGAAACGGCCACAATTTTGAAGGACGCATAGAAAGCTAGGTTTCAAACACAACCTATAGTCTGCCCCAATCTTAACCAGGCCAAAATTGACTTGGCGTTAGTGTTCGCGCCACTTCTGCGTCTAGCTATTCTGCTCTCTCCTCAATCTCTTCGCTCTCTGCGACAGCGCGCGTATGCAGCGCAAACCCCTAGCGAGCGCACAAATTCAGCCGACGGTTCGGCCTGATTGGGGCAAACTGTAGCTTTCTATGCGACTTTCTACGCGAATCTCGGCTTAGGAAAGGACAAAATTTGACGTTTTCATACCTAATTCTTTTCTCGTTTTTTTTTCCTCGATAGTCACCACTTCCGAAATGTTTGTTTCTAAAACAATCACAAGGAAAAAACTAGCTTTCCCCGTTTTCCCTGTGCGCGATGCCTGGTCCTGGAGCGAAAACCTGCAATTCGAAATGCCGCCAAACGAAGGTTTTTAAACTGATTGCGGCGTTTTATTGGGTTTTCAGGAGCTTCTTTGGCTTCCGCTGATTATTTTGCATCTTTTTCTCTTCTTTGATTTCCTGTAAACAACTTTCACTTATTATTAGGGACAGATATGCAAACAACCTTCACTTTTGAAGCCCTATCTCTGCACTATCAAAGATGTGGTGGGCAAAGTTTCGGCTTGATATGTTTGACTCAGATTAGGAACGACTGTATTTCTGGTTTTCAGATCCTTGAAATTTCGAAACTTGACCAGCTTTTATCATGCAATAATTTTTTCTATTTCGTTACCAAAATCAAACTGTTCAGTCAGATTCGTTGCCGACTACCTAATCTACATTATGTTTAAAAGTGAACGCGTCACACTCAAAAAGGGACAAGCTACAAAATTAGTTTCAAAACTTATGTGCCAACTGTTATATACCAGTGGCGGAACGAGAAGGGGTGGAGGGCAAGGCTCGGCACGAGTACGTTTCTAGGGTTTCTTAAAACGAAGGCTCCCATGACTTTCGAAAATCTTACAAAGTCCCCTTTGACCTACCTACTTAGGAGAAGATGAAAACAAGAAAGATTTACTAGTGTGGGAGAAAAAACGTGAGATAAGAGTGAAAATCCAAATTGGAGCTGAATACTACGCATACACAAGAGTTTGGCATTGGAGCGCGATATTTAATAAAGCGATTTATGGAGAGATTAAGGCAAAAAACAAAGCAAAGACAGGATATGAAAATGTCTTCATGCTTAGGGATAGATTTTTGACCGGAGAATCCGTCCACGATAGAAAAATCCGAAACTTATGTGAAGTGATAGAAATATATGCTCCAGACGATCTCAGAACGTCTGGTGACCGTATGGAGACGGACTAAATTTGGAAAAGGTAATGCATCACCTAAGTTTCCAGATCTTTTTGCATAATTCTTTTACAAATAATTTTTAGTATGCAGTTCCATTTTGGTGTCATATGATTCTGTGTGCGTTGTAAACAGGTAATTTGTTTATTTTGCTTAGCCTTGCTTTCAAATCGCGCGCACTTTTCGCCATACACGTTAGAGCATGTCAATCGTGTGATAACTGTCCGAAAAGCTTGTGTCGACTAATTGGCGCTTATTCTTGGTGCTCAACCCGATTTGTCAAAAACAATATCTCCATTGCTTTTTGCTCCAAAAACGTCAAAAACAATATCTTTGCTTTTTGCTCCAAAAACGAAGTCCAGCCTGCTTCCAGACGATTGTGCCGGGCCCTCGTGCCCCTTAATATGTGGAGAATCTTTGAAAGTTACTTACATGAGTTCAAAAAAAATGTGCAGATGACTCACTTATAGGCTGCTGCATGACGAAGGCGCAATAACTTTGGGCGCGAACGCGGCTTTATTAGCCGCAGAGCGCATGAGGCGCAGGACTTACGACGGTGAAAATACGCGCGCGCCGCGTTCGCGCCCGCTCAACCAATACCGCTTTTGCGCCTTCGTCATGCAGTAGCCTTTACTTGTAAATAATTGAAATAGGTTTTCATTACTTTTAAAAATACAAACTAGCCTTGTACAAAAATATTCCTAGAGGCGTGGCTATCGCCGCCCCTTTTTTGTAAAGACTGGGGGGAGGCGGGAGGGGGTCTAGGCCCGCAAAAAATTTGAAGCATCCCGAAAACTTTTTGAAGTGCGTGGCTGACGCCACAACTTCATTTGAAAACTTTGCCCCTCCCCCCACCACTGGTATTATACTGCCAGATATCGCTCCAATCACTGCGTGTGGCATCCTTTGAAGTAAGTGGTGACATTTGAATCGCCAAATCATAGGCTACAGATTCAGTTGTCCAGGGGGTTTTCGATATACTCAACCTCGAAGAGATCCCATTCTCAATAACAGAGCCTTTAATCAACTTGATAAATGTTTTTTTTGCTTTTTTGTTGTATCAAACACCTCAAAATATGCTTTTTTGCTTTTGTATTGTTATGTTGATTCAATGAAGGCTTTCCATCTGACGTCAAAGGGGATTTCGCAAAATTTTGCAAAGTCATGGGAGACTTGGTTCTCAGAAATGCCCCAAACCAACGCGCTCTTGGCCCTGCTCTGGCAAATTCTCATTGCATATCTCAACCTTCTAATTCACGTAACCTCGAGTCATTTCTAACTTAATATGTGAGAATGCACACTAAACACTATTAGCGACGGCACCCTCATTGGTAACTTTTCAGTTAAGCATTTTCTAGCCTGACAAAATGTAGAAATGTGTTCTATTGAGTAATATATGATCAACAGAAACAAAGGAGACAAGGAAACAAGGAGAAATCACGGCAAATAAGCCGGTTCTAGTTTTGCAGTTCGTCAGTCAGCGTGCTTAGTGTGCACTACACATATTAAGTTAGAAATGACTCGACGATATGTTAGCACCGTAAACTCCCTCGCGCACAACTTCACTCTTGCCTAAAGGAATTTTGGCAAGGATGGAATATTCGGTAGGAGAGAGAAAGCTTGCAAAACTCACCCTATGATCAAAATCGCTACACCAACGTAGTTGAAGCCTATACTAGCGGGAACAGCTTTAGGGAGCCCGAACATACCGAATCTGACTCCAACACATTTTCAGAATGATCACATTTGATAACTTATGAAATCTATAAATCACCTTGATGTTGCCCAGCCAGACAGACACGAAAAGCTATTCCATAAAAGATTCCCAAGTCCCATACCAATGCGATTCATTATTTGTACAGAAAAGGCATTGGCTGCAGAAGGGTAGCTTTTTCCATTTTTCTAGTCATCATGTAAATATGTAAAGGAGATATGCTAGCCTAAGGCCCATAGAAATCCTCCAATCATGGCGAAGCCATAAAAACCCGGGAAACCTTGAGCTGCATGCACTATTATGCCTATGAAGAAAGCACCCAAACATACGAATAACTGCGAAGTGAAACCTGAATTCTATTTATTATGAGCTAACTCCAAAATGCAGATGTGCTTCCTCACCATCACCAGCGTAGACTTTCCTAATCGGTACAAATTGAGAGCCAAAAAGAAATGACGCAAGCAAAACGCAAACAATCCCGAACCACATTTGCCAATTTCTAAAAAGTTGACTTTGAAGAGGTGAAAAAAATTAGGAAAGCCAGATCCGTACTGGGGCAGTGATAGAGCAACAGCAAATACTCAGCTTACACATCCATTTCACTTATGTTAGACAATATGCCAGATGAAGAGGTCAAATCATCAGGAATGAGAAAGAGAGAGAGAGAGAGAGAGAGAGAGAGAGAGAGAGAAATTAGAACAGTATACTTCAAGGCTTGTACTGGCAAAAAATAGTGATTTGATATCTAAATTCAAGAACAAGATTTCCAACTCAATGTAATTATCATACATTCTTTTGGTGTTTGCTTTGATGTCATGTCAAAACATATCAAATTAATAAAATTGAAGTTTTTAGTGATTTGGACTTGATAAGGTAAAATTTTTTCAACCGAAAAATTGCGTTTATTCTTAACCTTGTGTTTTCAGAAATCGAGAAAATGTCATGGATTTTCCTAATTGTTAGGGGAAACTGAGTACATAGCGAAAAACCGAAAAACTGGACCTCAACATAATATTTTGATAGCCATTGCTTCGTTCCAGGAATTTTGCAAGCTTCTGTGCGAACCATTCCTTAGACCTAAGTTTAATGTTAGAAATCAAGCTTTGCGCGCTGAAGACTAATAGATTGCTACAAGCTTCGTAGCTTTATCGAGCTAAGAATTTCCCCTGAAAGAGTTCCTTGATAAAATAACTAGACTTCACAGTATCGCTACCGAAATCGAAAACGTTTCCTTTCTTGCACAGTAGAATGTTATGTCCAGGGCTCGGCACGAGGTGGCTTACAAGCAAGGTGGATATCGTTTTTGGGACGAAAAGCAAGGGGGGTTTCGTTTTTGTGACCGAAGACACACGCAAAATTGGCGATTTGGCGACGTTTTTTTTAGAGTCGACGTTTCGTTTTTTGGAGGATTTTTAGGGAATATGGTGGGGGTCAAAGGGGACTTCGTAAAAATACCCAAAAGTCAAGGGGGACTTCGTTTTTTGCATTTTCATCTAGCCACCTCGTGCCGAGCCCTGGTTATGTCATTAACAAATTGATGAGATCATCCTGCAAGCTTAATTTGTTTAGATAAGAATGCGAAGTCAACAGGTTCGAGTATTACCTAAACAAGTTTATAATAATAACATATTACAATAATAGCTTGAAAACTGATCAAGAAGCAGTGGTGCATGAAGCGTGACAACATGATAAGAAAGTACATGTCACTTACGTTAATCAGTACGATCACTGGATTACTCCTAGCTAGAGACACGAAAAAGAACACTTTCGTTCACAAACTTGCGCTAGGCAACAAGGGAACTTATGCACACAAATTTGATCATTCAACTCAGTAGTGACAAGATGAAAATTTTGGAATTTTCAGAGTGCAAAAATCCAAAGCTCATTGCTGTGCTGAGAACGATGAACGTTTGAGGTACATTCTATCCTTTTGAGAAAAGATCTCGTCCCCGCCGTGTTGTAGTTTCCCTAGTATCTACAGAGTATGCATATATAATACAAGAAAAATAAGTGACATGGGATGAATGAAAGTCATTGCGTGTCAATCTGTCCTTCAAGTGATCAATGACAGAATATGTTGCAAGAAAAAACACAACAACAATGATTCTTCAGCTGATAACGCTAAAGAGCCGAACGGCGCATTCCACATTTTCTTTCCGATTACATATTTTTGACGAGATGATGGAAGGATAACACGACCGTCTGACCACGACCGTCCGTAAGTCCAGCACAGAAGATATTCGAGTGCTTTTCCAATCGACATTACTCACCCCCTTAGAGCAAAATTTTTTTGGGATGCTTTTGTAATTTTTGTGAACCCGCAATTCCGAAATTTTCAAGAAAATAGCGAGGATGACGGCAGCCATCCCGCGAGATACTTTTTTCACAAATCTAATCTGAAAATTATTTACAAGTGAAAGCAAGTCATTTGTGCAATTTTATAACTCATTTACTCTGAATACAATGCTGCTTCTGATTGTTATTGTATAAGATCCATTGATCCAAAAGTGATAAGGCACCTTGATTTTTGAACAATTTCAAGGGTTTCATTTTGATTATCTACAAAACAACTTGAGTGCGAACGCGTGACTTGAAATCCAAACCGAGAAGGTCTCTCTTGGAACTGGGCGAGTGACTTCTGGAACGGGGGGGGGGGGGGATCTGGAACATTCCTCAGCAGAATTTAGCCTTTTGTAGACGCCTTTTCCTGTCCAGACTACACTCATTGTTCAGTTGTGGTCCTGCTACTGCAACGCTTCAGATTCCCAGCAACCCTCTTGCCGGAACGGTCCCTCAAATCCAAATTTCGCCTTAGGCAGCAAACCTTAGGAATGAAAATGTCTCAACTGTTCGTTATTTATTGTACTGCGAAGCATACCAGCAAAGACAATGTCAGAATCGTATGTACAGTAACAATACATGGTGACCTGGCGGAAAGAGCTAACAATATAAAGAGGTTACACTCTAGGAAGAAAAAGCGGAAGCATCACATAAATAAAAATCTGTCCTGCGTTTTCTGCGAAGAACCAAAAAACTGGCCTACATTCATTAAGAAGAATACTGTTGGCTAATTTATTACAGGTACGACCTAGGCTTCAGATGCTAGCTGGTAAGGGACAACAAAAGGGTATATACAGTTAGCGACACGATAACCACTGGCTACCTGTACTTCTACAACTACTTCAAATCAACAATGGTTCAGTGTCTCATGAAGGAAAGTCTCAATGTTGCGTCCACTGTATACTCTTCAGGTCGATACCTTCCTGAACCATTTCCCAAAGTGGACTCAACTCTCGCAATCTTTCTACTTCCTTTATACAACGGTCGATCGTGTGTTGTATCTAAACTGAATGTTGATTCGATGCTCACAAACTGCACTGGTCGCGACATGCTACACACAATAAATAAAGGATTGCTAAACAGTAAACTTTTCTTTTCGTACAGAGAAAATAACATAACATCAATTCGTTCACCATTTGAATCGCCAACGATGTTGCTGAGAATTTCGCAAAAATAGATTCATTTCCAAACCTACCTCTTCCTCCGTAGTAAACCGACCAATTCCAAATCGAATGGATGAATGTGCCAAGTCTTCACTGGTTCCAAGTGCGCGCAACACGTATGATGGCTCAAGTGAAGCAGAAGTACATGCACTACCAGATGACAACGCTATACTTTTCAACGCCATCAACAACGATTCTCCTAAATCAAATTCAGTTAGTGCGAAGGGTTCAGCAGTGATAATTAGGACGAGCTATGAAAAAACTGTACTACACTACAGGGTTTTGAAAAATTAGCACCTTCGACATAAGCGAAAGACAAGTTTACACATCCTGGATAAGCGTGTTCGGGATCTACGTTCCGAATGATATCACTGCACTTTGATTGTATGCCATCAATGAGCATTTTTGAAAGACGATTGATGTGCGCTGCATCCATTGCTGAAATTAAATAACATATTATCTACTAGAAGCGTACAAACTTGTTGACTATGGTGAGTAAATTACCCATTTCTTCTTCAGCGATGCGACAAGCTGCTCCCAATCCCACACAGAGCGGATGTGGTACTGTCCCAGAGCGTATACCGCGCTCTTGTCCTCCACCATTCATCTGTGCTTCAAGTCGAACGCGAGGTCGACGACGGACGTAAAGAGCCCCAACACCTGAACGAGTACGGATAAAGGGAAAACACAACAAAAGAGAGGGAAGTACCTTTGGGACCGTAGATCTTATGACCTGATATGGACATCAAGTCGACTTTCAAATCATTCACATCGATTGGTATCTTTCCGACAGCCTGGGCGGCATCCGTATGAAACGCCACCTTTTTTGAGTGACATATTTCTGCTAAAAGAGCAGAAGCAATCTCAAATGAAACAAAACGGGAGCAGGGGTAAATGTTAGGTTGAACCGAAAGTTTTGTCGTTTTATGTTCAAAAATTTGTAACTTTGCGACGTGTCAACGGATTTGCTTGCGTGTAATTTTATTAGAAAGAATAATTCTTTCGCTTTCAAACGCTGTTTTGCGGAGCTTCTGTTTCACATTGGGTGCGGAGATAAAAATGGAAAACTAAGACTATATGAGCTTTGACCATTTTGAGTTAGGTCACCAAAAATCTGGAATGCTGCAGAAAAATCTGAAATCGTCAGTACATATGTTCTTTGGCCTACCCTTCGCATCTTTGAAAAGTTTGTGCTGTTTGGACGTCTCTGTGAGAAGTTAAGAATATCGAGTTTACTATGGAAAACGCCAAAATTAATTAATTTGTCAATTTTCGCGAAAATCATAACTTCTCACAGAGACGTCCAAATAGCACAAACTCTCCAAAGTTGCAAAGAGTAGGCTAAAAACATGTGTGCTGACGATTTCAGATTTTTTGCAGCGTTCCAGATTTTTGGTGACCTAACTTAAAATGGTCAAAACTTATATGGTCTTAGTTTTCCATTTTTATCTCCGCACTCAATGTGAAACAGAAGCTTCGCAGAACAGCGTTTGAAAGCAAAAGACTTATCCTTTCTAATAAAATTACAGAAAAGCAAATCCGTTGAAACATCGCAAAGTTACAAATTTTTAAAAATGAAACGAAAGAACTTTCGGTTCAACCTAATATATTCAAAACACTCCTACCTATTTCCTTAATTGGCTGGATCACTCCAATTTCGTTGTTAACTGTCATGGCTGATACAAGACAAGTTTTTGGAGTTATAGCTTGTTCAAGCTCCTGAAATGCAATCGCATAAAACAACAAAAAGATAACATTAGGAACCACTTCACCTTCAAATCTACTCTTCCTCCGTGATCAACAGGCAGATAAGTGACTTTGAATCCCTCTGTTTCTAACTGCCGGCAAGAATCTAACACACACTTATGTTCCTGGAATATCAAGGTTATCCTCACAATGGCTGAGAATATTTTAGGCCCCCACCGTTTGTAATGTAATGACATGATTTTTTCCGGTGTGACGTTGAAATTTCGCCACTCCCTTCACTGCGGTGTTATTTGACTCCGTCGCTCCCGACGTGAATATGATCTCTCTCGGATCCGCCTGTAGTGCACTGTTTATACATTTTGAAAGAATTTTCGAAGGGTCAAAAGCGCTTTTGCTGAATAATCAGCTGTGCTTGCCTTGACAAGAGAAGCTACTTGGGCACGAGCTTTTTCCACAGCTTCTTCAGCCTTCCACCCATATGCATGAGTCCTCGAATGAGGATTACCGTAATCATTTATCATGTACGGAAGCATAGCATCAATAACTCGAGGATCCTAAGATAGTCCAATAAAAAAGATGGGAATGGAGAGGTGAAACCAATGAGAACAAACCATAGGAGAAGTGGCTTGTACATCAAGATATATCGGACTTGCTGCTGTCGGATCCACCGCTTGCGTAGCAAGAGGTCGAGCGCACATACGCGCCACTGTAGTAGCACATTTCCCCGTCAACATTCTGAAAACTAACGAATTATCTTTATCGACGTCCACAGTCAGACCAGCCATATTGATCAACGATGAGCCATTGATTATGGGCTGGAACGTGCGAACGGATAAATGACATAGAACTAGCGGTAAGAAAAAAAAATGAGTTCGATGGAAAAGCCGGATGTTGGCGGAACATCAATTCAATCAAGTCCGTCAAAACGACTTAGAATTGCAATATTTCGACGTTCATCTTACAAAACTGCAGAATGCTTGGAACATACGTACCTTCGAGAAGGCTCACTACTCCAAAACTGGATATGATTTGCAATTAGCAATGATACGCTCATAATCTTCGCCGAACATTATCCATTCTTCTCATAAACATCGCTAACTTCATTCAAATAACACAACATAGTAACTATCCACTTGTAAGCTATTCAAAAACACATTCTAGCTTCGCCGGTAAAACGACGTGGAAAAAATTTTTTCATGAGCCTATCACAAAGTTATAATTCCAATCTGTTCACGGGAGTACACAAGATTCATTGGATGTTTACTGAACGCAAAATACACCCAACTTTCTTGAGATGCACGTAGCTAAAAATAAACCAAATGAAGGACTACGTACTCCGATTAAACTAAATGCAAACCATATGTAGATGAATTACAACAAAAAATTTTTTCATGGATTTGTTCCATGTAACATGGGTAGCCCCTAAACTCAAACAAAACGCACCCCACATATATATATACAATAGTAAACAATTAGGCAGCAACGAAGAGATTTGCAAACGTGCAAGTAGCAACAACTGAGGTCACTTTATTGCACAGAAAATTTAAATAATTTTATCATCCCGTCATCAAGTACTTGAAGGTGCCAACCTTGATAAGAACAAAGTAAGAAGGACAATGCACATTTATATCTACCTCTTTCTGGTACAATGAGCTCGTCATCACAAAGCGAGAAATAAAGATCAGAAAAGGGAGGATGAGTAAGAAAACATGGGCGATTTTTAAGCTATACTATCTTTTGATAGAAGAGAAGAAGTCATAGCGTTGTTCTACCGCTGTTGCTGACTGCCGATGAAAGAGATGAGCAGAAGATTTGCGCGAACAATACAGCAAAGAGGAGATGATTTCGAACAGTAACAGACTGGAATAGGGGGGTCGCCACCGACATTCGGCGGCAGGCACATCGGAATCTGGCGGAGCGGACTCGCCATGGAAGAAACCAGCCTGAACACATTTCAGTAAAATAAGCAGGATAGAAAGCAACTACGACAACTCACCTGTTTAAGAAGTAGCGGCTACTTGTGGGAGAACTTCTGAATGATCACTTTTGACTGATACCGCATCGCCACCCTGACGAGCTGCTTCGACTACAGGGTAGAAGTAGGGATGTGACATAGCCTCACGTGCAGTTAGACGCTCCTAAATCACTATCGTATAAGAAGTGTGGTGAAGCGCATAGTTACGAAAAAATTTTCCAGCAATCCTACCTGATGATCGTAGCGTAGCAATTTGTCTAAGAAATCGATAGCTTCCGGTGTTACAAGATGCTGATTTTCAGCATGTATAAATCTAAATAACAGGTCCAAAATCAGGTACGATTGAAACGTAAAAAAATGAACCCACCTTTCCCAACGTTTCCGTGAGTGACGTCCAAGAATGTCATTGAATCTTGGATCAAGTTCAATGTGATATTTGTCAATGTATTCATGCAGTTCTTCTGTTCCCAAAACTTTTGCGATGCGTACAAGCTGAACGGAAGGCGAAACTCAACATATTTGCAGTCGAAAATAGATCATGAGCAAATGTACCTGGTCATAGTTATCGTGACCATGAAAGAATGGTTCCTTGCGGAAGATCATGCTAGCGAGCATACAACCAAGACTCCACATATCAAGGGAGTAATCATAGCATTGATAATCGACCAAGAGTTCTGGGCCCTAAAGTTTTATATGAGGGAATATTACATCTAATCATGAAGAGGGGAGAGGATGAACAGCTACATACAACCCTGATTGTAAATCACATAGCAGCACACAATGCAAAAAAATTATTGTTCTCCGATTTCCGTTTTAAGCTGTTGTTGCCTTGACTGATGAGTTCGAGCAAGCATCATTGTTTTTTATTGTTCAGTCTTCTACACATGATAACGGGAAGACACAATGCTCTGATTGCGTCAAAAAGCAAAAAACGTGAACAGGCAATGTATCGCCGGCTCCCACATTCGTGTGGAAGCGGGCTGCAGAGTACCCGATAATAAGGATAAACTTTTTGAACCTCCATGTAAGCGTTGCTTTTCGTACTCTATCATTAACTTTATCCTCATAATCAAGGAAAGTCTGCAATTGGCCTCCCCGGGAATATGGAAACCAACCATAACCCCAACCCGCAAATGTGACAACTCTCCTGAGCTTTTCTGTAAAAGCAACCTAAAGTAACCCCATTCGATTTGCTGAAATGCCCACAAACTTTGACTGAATATGCTTCCGTTCCGGTATAAAAAAAAAATGGCAATAAATGTAAGATCCTGGTATGCTAACGTTAGACTGACGTGAATATTGATAAAAAAACTGCTAGATCCAAAAGATAAGCACAAATTAGCTTTTTTAATCTCTTCAGTGCGAAAGAGAAAACTGCCGAATTGAAGAACTGAACTGTAATCTCTTTTGAGGCTGCGTTCATACCGATCTGAAAGTTTGGGAACAGTTCCCGAACTTCGGAATCAGTATGAAAGCAGCCTAATAGGCAGAAAGCAAAGTAGCCTCATTAGAAAAGGCGCTGTTGCTTTATAACAACAAAAAATGATCGACTAGACCTACCTTGAAGTACCGTGAAGCAACTCGCACGTTGTAATCTTGTTTTGGATGGTAGAATTCAGCCAAACCCCAGTCAATCAAGCGCAGCTAAATATAATATTATCTTATACTTTACGACAACCAAAAACGGTCCACTCACCTGCTTTTTCTCATGATCGATCATAACATTGTGAGGCTTTACATCTCTGTGCATGATCCCTTGGGAATGGCAATAGTCCAGAGCCTAATATCAGTTTCATTTTAGAGAAGAACATTGTGAATGTCAAAAGAGAACAAACCTTCAAAAGTTCATATAAATAAAATCGAATATCAAAATCGCTAAGTGTTCCATACAGCTGCTTGAAATCCGAATTGTTCACGTACCTGTACATAGCACTCAACACTGTCCAATAATAGAACAAATTTTCAAACTTACTCGAAAATCAAAGCAGGAGTGCGAGAAATTGGATCCTTGACGACATCTAGCAATGTGATAACATTAGTACCGCCACGCAAGTTTTCCAAGATTTTGATTTCTCGCTTTATCTTCTTCTTTTTTACAGGCTGTAATCCATAAACTTCAGATGATCTTCCAAAAAGTATCTTTATTATGTGCTTACTTTTAATATTTTAACTACCACTTTCTCGTCGGTAGTGAGCTTCACTCCTTCGAAAACCTTGAATAAAAAGCTCAGAATGAGCACGAGCGCTTGAGAAGATCAATAACCTCCGAATATTTTCCACGACCAAGTTTCCGAACCAGTTGATAATCATCAATGTTGCCCCATTCGATCACATGTGACTCGTAATCCCAATATTCTCGCGGCTTCGATGGATTGACCTAAAGCAGTATTTTCCAACATGAAAAAAGACAATATGAAATTTGAACCGAGAGAGTATAAAACCAACTCACCTCCGCATACACCCGGGCCTTACTGGGTATTGGAGCCATGGGGGCTGATCGCCACAAAGTCTAGACCCTGAAAAATACAAAGTGCTTACTTGTGAAATCGTCGATCGAATGAGTCGTCGCTAAGCGAAAAAAACAAATTATCATCAGTATTTGAGAAATGAAAAAATTACGCCACATAAACGAGAAAGCAAAGCAAAACACGTCCAACTCCGGAGATGCTACTATTCCTTAGGTTGTCAGTGACGGGTCTTCCCTGGAAGAAAGCCACATCCCACTTCCGAATCCGTAAATCCATCGTCTTTCACAAGAAGCGCCGAGTCAGCCGAGCGACGAGCCCGAGAGAGGGGGCGCGGCAGCGCCATTACGGTCGAAACGCGGGACCTCCGCGAAGAAATGGCACAAGCCCTTCAATAAGAATGTCATCCAGTACTTGAGCGTTTGCAAAGTTGTGCATTATGAGCTTCTTATATCATCTAAAAATCTATGTGTGGTAGACTAACTATTTACTATTTTCAGGATATGTTGGGGCGATCCGCGCACACCCTGCGGTTCATTTCAGCTGCAGGAACGTCGTATCAGTCTGCTAGGGTGAGTTTTCCATCTGCAGAGCTTTTTTGACATCTGCATCTAAGATTTTAGAATACATGGATTCTTAGGCGAGTTTATGCACCGGAACCCACTCCGCCTGGTAAAGTGCAGCGAAATCCGGAAGAGCTGCCGAATCTGATGAAGCTGGAGACTGTAGAGTATGAGACATTGAAACCGGCCGGACCATTGAAGGTCATTCTGCTGCAAGACATAGAAGGTCAGGTCGCCGAAATCATTACAACAATGTATTCAAATCTGAGGTTAAGGAGTTGGGCATCAATTTGATGTCGTTGATGTCGACAGAAGGCTGGCCAGATCAGATCTTCTCCCCACAAGAAAGGCCGTATATGCATCACCGTTTGACTTGGAATATTATGCCAAAGTCAAAGAGGTACGTAGGTATATAGTCGGTAAAATCTTTCTTGTTTCAAGCCTTTCATTTAACGAACTCACCTCTTTTAGAAAATGGCTGATGAACTAGCGAAGAGGGTGCGAATACCTTATGAATTCATCTGCATTGGGCGAGATCTCCAGGCAATGATAGTACCAGTCAAAGTCAGCATGGAAAACAAGTGGACAATCAATAAGAAAGTCATTAAAACTTCGCTACGGCAAAACGTAAGGTTTGCTTTTTTTCTTGAAGTACGGTAGTTATTGGAGCTTCATTCAGGGAGTGGATATGCTAGATGATGCGATATTTCTCGAAGACGAAACTATCAACGGACCTAATTTCGAAATAGAAGCACGTCTAATCAGATTCTATGTTGTGGTATGTTTTTGCATTGTGGATTTATACTTTGAACGCCACATATGGTCATTTGCGCTTTGGCACATGAGAAATCAGCGTTTTGCATGGTCAGTCACCGCTAAAATAAACAATCACGGCGAGCATCTGCGGCACCTAACACTGGTTTTTGGGTGGCGGTAATGGCCAAATTTTTATCTACACCACTTTCGGACGTAAACTTTCACATTAGAAAGGCTGCTTCAAGTTATGAAAAATGCAAGTGACTTGTTTATACCTGTAAATAATCAATGTAATGCTCAGGACTTATTGTAAATTCAAATTAGCCTTATAAGAGAATTTTTTGGTCGTGACCCGCATCAGGGTAACAGACTCACAAAAATTTTGGGAAGTATCAAAAATTCTGGAGTGCTGTGGATTGGGTTGCCGCCGTAGTATAAGGCATCGGTCATCCGTTCTTGATCTCTGGTTGACGGAAAAGTCGTGTTTCCAGTCATCTTCTCAACTCTTCATAGTGTCGAATGTGTATTGCTTCGCTAACTTGCTTTTGTAACTGGGTGAGCCCGACAACCCCCCAAAGGAGGTTTTATACCAGGAAGAAGAGGAACAGACCCGTAGTATGTTGTAATTTACGCAGGAATCAGAAGGATGGGAGCAGGGGTTGACTGGGTTTATCGGGCTAATTGCGGGTGCATCGCATACATCGGATGCTCTTTGGGCATCCGCGAACGCTAAAATCTGTGATTTGAAGTTCCGCGTTACTTGATTTGGAGTATCTTTGTTCGATCCTAATTGCTTACATTACGATTCCAGGTGTCCAAGCAGTACATTGTGCCTATGCTAGGCAAAATAACCCACATTTCTGTCGATGAGTCAAAACAGGTACTCTTTTGATCGTTTCCTTTTCACAAAGCCGTGTTACACTAATCCTTCTTCAACGTCTGATGCATTCAGATGCTGACGCCAGATAGCACACGTGCACCAACTTCTGCTCAGTTGGCGCGATTCGGAATCAAAGAAGAACAACCACATTATAGTCAAACTCCAGACATAGATGAGAATTTCCCAGTTGTTGACTTCATGAAAAGAAAGGCGCGATAGTCTATGAAGATCACGTAGCTGTTTTACTGCTGCATTCAAGTTGTGCATTTATGTATATGTTCTATTCGTTGTACATTTTGTTGTTCGTTAAAGAATTTTTTTTGACGTAAGGTCTATGTCTGCACCTGGTTCATCCATTAAAATTACCTTATCCTAGTTTTGGTTGGATAAGTTGTTACAGCCATATTTTTAGCCCACTATATCGAAAACGATTTACTTAGCGTGAAGTACGGCAGAATGGTGCAAGAAAGTACGATGATCTGGTGAGTCTTCATGTTACCAACGTATGTATCATCGATGTTCTCAACCAATAATATGCAGTGTGGACAACTCGGAGTGGATGCGAAATGGTGACTTTGTTCCTACTCGTTTGCAATGCCAGCAGGACGCTGCTAACCTGATCCTGCAATGCAAATTGCGAGCCAATCCGGAAAATGCTGTGGGACTCCTTTCTATGGCTAAGTGCGTTGATCTTACACCTATTCCCTCTTCTTCATCGATTTTTTCAGCCAAGTTCAAGTTTTGTCAACCATGACGCAGGAAAGCGGACGGCTTTTCATGAAGCTGCATCAGCTGGAGCCTCAGGTTGGTACCTGAATTTGGTTTACTTTATGTGTTTCTCTGTTTCATTTTAGGGAGTTTTGTCCTGTATATCCAATAGAACCTGCTAGATTAGTGATTATTTTACGAAAAGATTGTACTAGGCATTTCTTAACCATGCCTACTACTAATTTAAATGCAGTGGGTCGGCAGAATGGGACCCGTGGCAAAACAAGGTCACAGGGTAGGAGCCCCATAATGGAACCTATGGGCCAAAGTTCGATCTTTCTCTGCCACTTCTAGCCCCCGAAATTTCAAAGCGAAAGCAGCCTCATCTCCTGTCCTCTCCGAACCCGCCCACCCCATGGACGAGTGAATTCCGCGGTCAGAGCGCCAGCCGCAATGCTACTCCGAATTTCGTTGCGTACCAGCGGCGTTCGATGCTCGTCTGAGCGGAACACGCAAACGCCGCTGGTAGGGCAGTCGCACGCCGCTCGTACGCTGTGGAACTCCGCTGGGAGGAGAATGGTACGCCGCTGGTACGCCAAGAGGGTACGCCTCCGGACCGCATGTTCACCCGATTTTTGATTAGTGTACTAATTGCAGCATTAGTTGGTTTGAACATTGCTATATCGTCATATTTTATGAAGCCGAAATTAGCGTAAAATTTCCTGCTATTTCGATCGATGGACCGAATCGAAATCGAAGGATTATGGGCCACCCCTACAACACCCAGCTGGGATGTATCAGGTCACTCAATAAGAACAACAAACTCACTCCTACTCCTTTGTCAAGTACCGAGAAGTGTTATCTAACCACTAAAATGCTGAGGCGGCCCAACCATTGCGTCGTATCCCATGCGGGTACTGCTTACGCTTACAGCGTGGGGTAATGTGTTGGAACGCCGCTCGCCAAAAGACGGTACGCCGCTGGTAGGGCGCATTAGAGAACGCCGTTGGTACGCTAAGCGCACGCCCTTGGTACGCAAAGCCATTTAGGTACGCCGCTGGTACGCAGCGAAAGTCTGAGTATAAGCATGAGGTCACGCAACGAATCTGCGTCTTCGCCATGACGGGCTTCGCGTTCACTCGTCCATGGGGTGGGCGGGTTCGGAGAGGACAGGAGATGAGCGCTGCTTTCGCTTTGAATTCGGGGGTTAGAAGTGGCAGAGCAAGATCGAACTTTGGCCCATAGGTTCCATTATGGGGGCTCCTACCCTGTGACCTTGTTTTGCCACGGGTCTCATTCTGCCGACCTAACTGCCTTTAAGGCTAGTCATGACTGATGGAATCGCACTGCATTTAAGGCATTCGTTCCAGGGACAGTGCAACTTCATGTCGGCAATCAAGATTGCTCATTTGGCTCTGAAGCACCGACAAAACAGGAATCATAAAATGCGCATTGTGATGTTTATCGGCAGCCCCATCGACAATCTCGATGCCGCTGAAGTAATTCTGTTGAAAACATTAGAGACTTTTTCTTTTATACTTGTGTATTTAGTTGACCAAGATAGCAAAAAAGTTGAAGAAAGAGAAGGTGCAGTGCGACGTTATCTGCTTTGGAGAAGCCGACTCTGAAAACAGCCAAATTATGGGGCAGTTTGTGGACACATTGAATGGGAAGTCAGTATTTAATCTTATAATATAAGATCGTCTCTTGCTCACTGGTCACATGAACATTGCTTACTTATCTTTGTTTGTTAGGGAAGGCAATGGTTCGAATCTTATTGTGGTACCAGCTGGATCTCCCTTGACTGAAGCTTTGGCCTCATCTGCTGTATGCCGTGGAGAAGACGGTGGTAATGCTCCTGTCGTCGGTCCGGGAGGTGGTTTTGAGTTTGGAGTTGATCCCGAGGACGATCCTGACCTTGCTCTGGTAATCTCTCGCATTTAGTTTGCCTTTGTCTTTAATTTTCATCGTTCATCTCAAGGCTTTACGTGTCTCTATGGAGGAAGAGAGGGCGCGGCAGGCAGCTGAAGCAGCTGCCGCTGCGGCTGCTAACGGAGGACAAGCCCAGGCTTCTGGAGAATCTGAAAATGCTCAGGTATATCTTAGTTCTTGACATACTTTCACATAAGAGGGTTTTTTATATAGAATGTCGATGTTATGGATATGGAAATGGGTGAAATGACTGAGGAACAACAACTCGAATGGGCACTTCGAATGTCGATGCAGGATTCATCAAGTATGTATCTCGTTGTGTTTATGCGTTTTTTTTTCCACTTACTTTCGTACGCCTGGGCTACGTTGGGCTTGGTCACACTTTCGAAACGTCGGTTGGTCAGATTTCTTCCATGCAGTAATCATCGTTGGTGATTTGAAAAAAATCTGCTAAATTCATTCCATGATTCTATGAGCATGCTTCTGTTCAATTACATAGAAATGACTGATTTGCTCTGAAATGAGCTTTGCTTAAAAGTAAAAAACATATTGGGCCGGCTATCGCAGGTTTTTTGATTTGTCTGTGTAGGTTTTGGGCAGTGGTGCGTTTTTGCCATCCAAAGCACGTTATGGGCCTTTTGAGTCGTTGCTATTTTTGTGAACAGGTTATTTAGCTCCGGCAGCAGCGCCACAGCCAGCAGCTCAGTCTCAACAAGCTGAAGAGACCATGGATGTGAGCACAGCGCAAGTGGTGTGTTTCTAAAATTTTTTTGGTATATTTTTAAGATTTTTTACCTGCGATTGATTTTTTTTATTTAGGATAATCTGGACGAACTAATTAACAACCCGGAACTTTTGCAACAAATCATTGATGATCTGCCAGGTGGTGAAAAGGTACTGATAATTTTGCGATCAACTTCACCGATTACTCAATATGAATCTCTGATCTTTCACTTTCAGAAAGAGGAGGAAGGGAAACCAAAGAGCGAAGATAAGTGAATGGGTTGTATTGAAATGCCTGTGTACTTGTGTAACTGAATGTGTGTCGCGCTAAACTGATAAATATTTTGGGACTGTATAAATCCAGGTGTATATGACGTGGGAGTTTCGTGTGGCACATCATGTATCGTGCGTAAGGAAATTTTATTTCAAACATGGAGCAGAACATCGTCATCGAAAAGCTATATCAAGGAGATGCTGTAAGAACCAGTACTCAGCAAATTTCAAAAAATTTAAAACTGCAAAGCCGACTGTTCCAAACTTTAAACCCTAGAATCTCTGTGAAACTATTCAATTTCTATACAATAGTCGTTCAGGAAAGTGAATCAGCTGCTATTTATCCTTCTTCATATCCTTTGAGACATTTTGCAGATAACCTTCCAGCTCTTTCGCTAACTCTGATAACGATGGAACCCTTCCTATCTAAAATTAATTGAATAAGAGGACAGTGAAGCAGCTGAATGACGAACCTCATAGTTTTGAGCAAGGAAAGCGCCACCATAGGCGCCAATGCACATACTGATGAAGTGCGAGATGAGGCCCATCTTACTATGAACTTCGCACCTGAAAGGAACGAAGCATGAATGTGATGGCAAGCATGTGCAGCTATCGCAGGCCTATCAACACAAGTAGCAATTTATCTATAGAACTATAGGTGGAGCAGATCTTATGCAGCGAGAAAAAGTCGTGAAAATTAACTCCGATTTTACTTGCTTTCCAAAAATAGGCAGCGAACGCAGAGACGCGAAGCTGCAGATATATTCTATGCATTAAATGCTCCTTATGTTCGTCTTTCTGATCGTGACGGTTCACAAGTGACATAGTCCACCCTTGAGGACGGTGAGGTTTCGTTGTTGTGTGGCAGCTTCCTGACCGAATAATCGCGCAAGTTCGGACAAAAGATGCATTCCGAAGCGAAATAATTTTCCCGGGAGGTACAGTGGCCAAGAAATCTCCGCCCATCAGGAATGGTCTGTAGTCAATGGATGCAAAAGTGGACTTCAAGATAGCTATAAACGTCGAAATGTGGTAATCATAATGAATGGCAAATTTATGACCATTTCAGACACATTAAAGCGGTTTTTCGGACTTTAGAGTCAGAGGACACTTGATGGGCAGAAACTCTGGCTGCTTGTACTTTCCGAAGATATTTCCTCGCTTCTGAATCCATCTTTTGCAGCAGGACTTGGGCGATCCCCTAGTTAGGGGCCCTGCTATAGTAGGGCCCCTAACTAATATCTTACATAGCATCAAACCACCATCCTCAATATAGGCGGACGGTGAATTCAAGAAGGCGGTAGCTCTGTTTATATGGATTTCATGGTAAAGTTAGTCAACAAATCCAGCTGAGGCTGATTTACGAGAAAGTGAGTTTTGAGACACAAATCACTTGGTTGAAGGTGGTCCTTTCTTCTATCAAAACCGCAATCCATAGGTGGCGTACGCAATCTGAGCAACAGGACGCGAGCCGATCCAGAAGATTTGGAAGAATAAGTGGGCAAGGGCTAACAAGAAAACTAAAACATCACGACCATTTCTCTTATTAGAGCGATATACTATGACCACCAGCAGTTGTTTCGCTTGTTTCGGGTCTTGGTTTCAAAAGATATTGGGAGCATTGTCGTTTTCGTTGTTGTGAGATATGCAAGAACAGAGTCAAAAAGTGTCTACAATCACTATAAGTGGCACAATCTTGGACGTGAAGTGGACAAGCAAGCGAAAAATAAACAAAATTAGAACAATGTTTACGTTATGCTCCATCGACTCAATACTGTGAAATTATCTACACTCACTTTAAGAAATATTGTGCGTAGTAATCAGATGATATGCAATACGCTCCGCCTACCACAGCAGAAAAAATAAAACTCGTCATTCCATTGCATACGAGTTTCAGAATAAAGCTTGTGAGGATACTCTAAGGCCCGTATGCACGTACATCCCCGCTGGGGAGGGGAGGGGAGCTGGATCCCCAGGGGAACGATCCCCTCCGCCGAACCCCGCCATGACAGAGGGGAGGGGAGCGATCCCCTCCCCTGCACCTAAGCGGGGATGATGTGAATGGTTTCAGAGGTATTGATCGAGCGAACCCCAGTGCATACGGGGTTCGAATGGGGGAGGGGATCCCTTCCCTTCCCCCACTCGAACCCCGTATGCGCGAATTCAACTCAATAACGCGGGGGAGGGGATCGACATCCCCTGCAACGAAGTAGGGGTTCGATGGTGTAGATCATGCCAGAGACGCGGATATTCTGGTTCTGCTCAGTCATTACCAAGCATTTCGTTCATTTTGACGGAGGATTTTCTTTGAAAGCCGGGTTCTTCTCTCAGCGACCTGTGGCTTGCAATTTGTCTTTCTTTTCTATATTCGCCTCTTGAGAAGGAATCCGAGCAATAATAGCAGCCAATTTCGATTATTTGTAGGAGTTCTTGATCATTCAGAGAATTTGCGCATTTTTCATATAACATAATAGTTTTAACTATATAGGCTGAGTAAACACTTTGTAACTTTCATATTTCATGACATGTTGCCATTATCTTGTTATTTTAACATAAGCTGCCTCGAAAAAATCTAGAAAGTAGCACATTTGTCTATTTCTGAGTAGAAATCCCCTGGGGAGTGATCCCCTCCCCAGCGTTCCCCTTGTGCATAGCAGGGATGGCCGCTGGGGATCATTCCCCTGGGATGAAGGACGATATGCTGCTGATAGCTACAGCGTTTATGGAGAACTGGCACAATTTGCCGCTTCTGTTATGTGTTAAAATACTGCTTTGAGCGTCCGCGCGGCACCCCCCCCCCCTTTTCGGCAGCATAATGTCTTCTACCCATTCCCTTGCGGAGACACATCAACTTCTATAGTTCAACATTTTTACGCTGAAATGGGGCAGCATGAGCGAAAGTGGGCAGCATCCAAGAAAGCAGGAACATAATGGGAGTAGAAAAAATCATTTTTAGTGCCCCGAGCGCAGTCACTGCATACGCGCATTCCGCAACCCTAAATTATTGAAAGTGATGAGATGAAGATAAGTTGCAGTCAAAATATAAAATAAGAAAGAGTTTTTTATAGAAAATTTGAAAGCAAGGTGGTTTCCCCGCTTGATCCCCTCTTGTGCATAAGGGGGTTCACTTCCCCTCCCCACAGGGGATCCCTTGTCCGATATTGTCTTTGTGCATACGGGGGTTCGCGCGGGGAGGGGAGGGGATCCCCAGCGGAGATCATTTCAATGGTTAAGCGCACATCCCCTCCCCGCGGGGATGTACGTGCATACGGGCCTAAGAGATGTGAAGAAAAGGTAATGGGTGAAGCACTAATAAATATTGCTATTGTCCCCACTAGCAATCGAGAACAAAGGATGTCACTTCCACTGAAACAGTCGATAAACATCACATTTTGAAACTGTAAAAAACATGACTACGAATTTCGTCCTACTGTACAATTGCTTTGTGTAATTACGTCAACATTACCAATATTACGGATCACATTAAAATTTACTGATTTCTGTTTTCCCTTTAGAATGTTTCTTCAGGGGAATTTGGCATGTTTACAGCACAATATTGTTCGAAAGTTTATTCTTTTCCTGGGTAAGAAGATAGCAAAAGAAAAACGATCCTTATCAAATCCTCTTGTCAGACAAATGCTAGATAACTATCAAAATGCTTCCAATTAGCATTGTGACTACATAAGTACCGGTTTTGGTTGATATATCTCTATATATTATAATATCCCATTGATTATTTCGATCTTCATCACTTTTTCAGGTTCTCGATTCCGGGCTCCTGTAATCGAAAAAATTTGTCTGTATATTAGTTTCACTATCGGAATTACTTGGCTTTTACCTCATTAATAATCGTGGTAGTTTCTGGAACCAATTCCACCTCCTGGAGTATGTAGTAACCTTGTACGTTCTCCTTCTTGGCGTTTCTGTTTATGAGTGCGCGGTTTATTTCGCACTGAAAATGGTCGATTTGTCCTTAAAACTCCATTTCATTCTAATCTAGCCATGCCTGGAGTCTGTTTGCCATGATGTTGTACCAAATATCCCGTTCGTCACCTGATATGTACAGACCATCAAACTTTGACACTGCTGTCGCTGCTTCGTCCGAGTTAACAAACTCCTAGAATATTCTTTTAGTTCCCAATTTAGACCTTTTGTCAGTTTCTTACATCGTAGGCCTTTTGATTCAGAACTCTTCGCTGTTTAAGATTCCAAATAACCTTCGCAATTTGATCCATATAAAGCATTCCATTTGAAATGCAGTTGAACATGGAATCTGTAGAAATTTTTGATTTTATTTTTTTGTGCGGTAATGAAACTCACTTTTGGTCTCTTGGTACTCGTTCCCGAGTCGTGTTTCTCCTTCGAATCGTCTGTGATCGTGCACTTGCCTCATGTCTTCTCTTCTTTTGCGCATCTGTTCCTCTACAATCACTGAAATGTTTAGGAAGATTTTTCTTTGGGGATTTTCGACGACCAATTTTTGAGCACCTCTCCTCTACTTAACTTCAATTTATTTTCAAAACCAACATAAGATAAAGAATGCGCTTACGTCCATATTGACGTGCTCCCAACTTCGATGGAGGTGGTAGCGAGGAGCGAACGGAACCTCTTTGAAACATACCTTAAATGGCACATAGTTTGATTCTATGACTGGTACTGCAGAATAATAAAAACAGACTACTTCACTGGGGATTAATGAGCTCTTATACGACTGTGTGGGGCATTTCTGACCCATGAAAGGTCAGCATGCTGCTTGCGGCTAATTCTCCACATCTTCGGAACAAGACACGACTGTAAGGTCATTGGAGCATGGGCTAGCATATTATTAGGTCAATTACAAATTTCCTTATTGAGCTATAGGCTCAAGCATCTGAATCGCTTGATCAGAACCAAATGGCATCAAGCTTTTCGTGTGTAAAGGAAAACGTGAGCAGAGCCTCAAGCTGATTCGTCTCAGAATAAGTTTTCGAAGCTCGGGTAAAATTATTCATGTAGCAATGCTTTTCTTGAATAGACGTTGTTTTATCCCCCATCAAAGTATCTAGCACTTTCTTTGTTAGAGTTCACTGATCCCGCTTCCACTTAGCTTATCATTTATCAGTTCGGATCATTGATCTCCGTCAGCATAGAGGGAAGTTTTTGCACTATAAGTAAGCATTTGAAAACATACAATTGATAATTTCGTAGTCAATATGATTTGATTTGTATTGATTATTGGAAAGTACCAGAGCTACTATAAGCTTAATTGAGGCTGTGCACATGAATGTTTGTTGTCGAAGGTCTCCACGGTACAATTTCGAAGCGCAGGACTTAAGGGAAGTATTTACCTCTCGTTAACATTCCCTCTTCTCTTTGTCTTCAGCCCGTTTGAAATCTGTTTGAGACTAGCTGCAGAAGTGCAAATGAGTTTGGAAATTTGAACTCACAATTTTAGCTTTTGCCCATGTTTGCCGCATTTCAATCTGTACTCGTATCTAATCTGTACCTGCTTTGAAAATTTCAAAACCAAACGACATGTGCACGTTAATCAGAAAAGAGAGGGTTGGAGCTTATTATATGTTATGCTGATACTTATGCGATATGCGGCCTCCGTCTCCGAGTCATCTGTTTGAAATTAAGTTTTACGCTTTCGGAATCAAAAAAGGCAGTGATTTTGCTTCAAAATGTCAAGCTTGTTTTAAGGGGTCACGGTCACCGCACCTGTGTCATTTGTCAGCCATTTATCTTTTTTGCTTGGTAGCCTTGACATAGTTGTATTCTGTAATCCATGCCGTTCTGATTGCGATAACCTGTGCATATGTGACTGGAGCAGTCTCAATTTCAGAATATGGCTGAAGAGTTAGAAGAAGTGAGAATTGATCAGTCTGTCAGTGAGAATCACGAAGTCGAACCGTCCCACTGCTCAACCGAATCGTCTTCGTCTGCCTTGGAAGATTTGTTTGCTGATCGCTACTCCTTGGTAATTTTAATAAATTTTTGCCTATACTTACAAATTATCGAGTTTAAGGAGAATGAGTCCTACGCGAAGATTTGCAAAGGATTCGAGCCTGTGATATGTTTGCATCCATTTCATTCTAGACCGAAGCGGAACTTCGACAAGTAAGTAGATTATAGATTTTTTCCAAAATCTCTAATTTTGTAGTTTTAGCAATAGCAGTAACCAGTACCGAGGCCGTGGCGGTTGGAATCGTGGAGGAGGAGATTGGAGAGGTGGAGGAGGACGGGGAGGTTGGAGAGGTGGTGGAAGACGAGACGATTATTCAAGAAATGGACAAGGAGGAGGAAACTGGCAAAATAATGATCGGAGAGGCCAACGTAGACCTTGGAACGACGGGAACGACCGGAGATCGGATGGAGGAGGGCGACGGTTCCGTGCAGATTGATATTTCTGTTGAATTTATTCAGCTCTTCGATACTTTTTGTGAACCTCTTTATGACCCCCGAACATCTTCTCCATGCGTGGTTTCAGTCATAATTTTTTCTCATATTTTTACATAATTTTTTTACAGCTGCTGTGGTGTATCATGATGTTGATGTAATAATTGTTGCTTGAGTACGTTCCATCAATGACAATGAATTTTCAATTTCTGTTTGTTAAGTACAAATGGTGCTCGTTCTGCAGGTCCATGGCATTATTTCTATACTGGGAAATTTTCTGAAATGCATGAAAATTTTGATCGAGAACGTGAGGAGGACGTTGTCGAATATGAAATTAACATCGTTCTATATACTTGTTCCAGATGAATGGTCGCTACTTATTTTCATATTTTAGGGTAATATGGCAAGTATTTATTTGAACGGAAACTTGAAAAGTCCGTTACTTGATACTCAACATTTTTGCTTATCTTTTCGATCGTGTTGTAAGAAAGTGATTACTAATTTCTCCAGATTCTTCCTATGGATCGATGATAAAGTTGAAGCAGAAGAACATATCTCACTGTCGTTTTTATTAGGCTAGATTGTCGAAAATGTAGAATGTTTCAATAATCGTAACTGCCAAATATATTAGGTTGAACCGAAAGTTTTGTCGCACGATTTTCAAAAATTCATAATTTCTTTCCTTCATGACGATTTTGCATAATTCAAATTTTATTCTGAAAGCGTAAAGCATGTAGTTTCCAAAAGTCCCCTGGGAAATTTTCAAAATGCCCAGGTTGTAGAGACAAAAATGAAAGGAAGAGATCATCTGGAATTCGGAATTTTCAAGCAAGAATTCTAGAAATTCAGAAAGTGTGCGATAAGATCCGGAAAAGCCATTATCCTAATTTTTCTTATATTTGATTACTAAATGAGTCAAGTTTGTGCTGATCAACCTCTTTTTTCTAAAGTTATGATTTTTTGAAAGAAAATGTCGAAAAATCATTTTCCTAAGGATTCTTAAGAAATCGATTTTCCGGCATTTTCTTTCAAAAAATTATAACTTTTGAAAGAAGGGCTCGATCTGCACAATCTTGACTTAGTTAGTAATCAATTATAAGAAAAATTAGGATAATGGCTTTTCTGGATTTTATCGCACAGTTTCTGAATTTCTAGAATTCTTGCTTAAAAATTCCGAAGTTCGGATGATCTCGTTCTTCCATTTTTATCTCTTCAACCTGGGCATGTTGGAAATTCTCCAGAAGACTTTTGGAAACTACATGCCTTACGCTTTCCGACAAAATTTGAATTGCGCAAAATCGTCGTGATGGAAAGAAGTTACGATTTTTTGAAAATCGTGCGACAGAACTTTCGGTTCAACCTAATATGTGCCTATTGACTCACTCTTATAAATTCGAATTGGAATAGCCGAAAAGTTCGTAAAATTGCTTTGGATCTTTTGGTTAAGTTTGAAATGAGACCGGTTCGGTAGCTAAATGATTACATGGGCAAGAAGACTAATGAAATTCGTCAGGAGGAACTAGGGCGCTAAAAATTTGGTCAGCAAATCAAGGCAGATGCTTCTTGCACCGAAAATGAAAAGCAAATTCAAGTCATTCAAAAGGGGAGAATTTATCCAAGAAGAGCGAAATTAGTGATATCCACGGTTTTTTTTTGCAAGCTTCAGTTGTATTGAAGTGGAACTGGGACAAGTAGAAAAAACTTCTTGCATCTTATAAAGCTCTTCGCGATGAAAGTGCTAATTTTTGCTTGTGCTTGAAAGTGCTAATTTTTTTTTTGAGAAATCAAGCGAGAACTACTAAAAAATAGGCTTAAAAATTTTACACTATCACAGCAGATGCTAATGCAGTTTTGGTTTATTTACACTTTATGAAAAAAGGTTATACTAGTTCTTACTTTGGAATGCCGCATAATAATCACGAAGGCCATGTATTCCTCTTATTTTAGAGGCTTTATATTCGTAGATAAAACCACCGACTGCGTTAATCTGAGGCAAAAAATAATGCCCAATACACATTATTACTAATATTGAGATTTTTCCAGAAATTTATTCACTTATGATCAGTAGAGGGCAATCGAGGAAAGTTCTAAACTTTTCTTGTCCTTATACAAGATCACTGGTAATGACTAACGCTTTTGATATCTTTGCACAAATACTATATACATAACTTATAGTCACATACATTGAATCGTTTTTGGTCATCCCTGTTCTCGTCCTTCGAAGTTCTCGTCGCTTTTCTGAAATGACACTGTTTTGAAAAAAGTCCAAACTCGATATCCGAATGCATTTCACCTTAATTGTGGTATCTCCTGTAAACTTTACTTCCTGAAGTCTGTAATAGCTTCTGGCCTGCATTTTCATTGCGTTTTGATGGATACGCGCACGATCAATTTCACACTATAAAATAAATTTTTACTGAAATAGTTTTCTTATTTTAATTTACCTGCAGTCTGTCTGCCAAAATATTATACCAAATATCGTTTTTGTCATCTCTGACATTTAGATCATCGAAGCGTGGAATCGCTGTCATCGCTTGCTCCGAGTGAACAAATTCCTGAACTTACTCTATGGAAATATTTGATATGACCAATTTTAACCAACTCACATCATAAGCCTTTCGATTCAGGGCATTTCGACCTTTTAGACTGCAAATAACCGTCGCTATCTTGTTCATGTTAAGTACGCCATTCGCAATGCAGTTGAACATCAAAACTAGAATCACTTTCGAGGGTTATCGGCTATTTATTTTAGAAGAAACTCACTTTTAGTTTCCTGGTATTCATTCTCATCGCGCTTTTCTTTTGCGAGTCGACTGAGTTCTTGCGCATATCTAATATCTTCTCCTCTTCTACGCATCTGTTCTTCTGCTAGCACTGAAATGCCATATTTATACATCATTTCTTATGAAGCCTTCAAAACTCATACTTGAGGAATTTGTCACACAATTATACCGATGAGCAGCAAAAAACACTAGTATAACAAACTTGGCAAGAAAAGCAAAAGGAAAAAGCAAACTTACGCCCATATTGTCGTGCTCCGATTTTAGACAGATGTGGTAGTGAAGAGCGAAGATGTCCTCTCTGGAACATAGCTGGGTGTGACCTACAAGAAAAGCTCTTTATAGTTTGTTGGATTTGTCAATCTAGCGTCCATCCTGCGCCGACATTTGTGGCATTGTTTTGGATGCAGAATTCATGACTTCTGGACCTTTGTGCGAGCAAATGCGGTCGGAATTAGAAAATGGCTATCCCTTCCTAGATAGCAAATGGCCATAACTTAATTGTTATATCTGACCGTTAAATTTACTAGACTCTGGTTATAGAGAAAATGTAATAAACAAAGCAGAAAATAAACAAAGACGCCATTGAGAGTTATTTATACGTCTACTCGTCCTTGCGAGTAACGAGGTCGACTTCTTGAAGCCTGCGGCTAATTGCTTCTTGTGATCGGGTGGGGCGACCGTGTCATAGGACGATTATGTCTTTTCTTGAAGAAGAGTCAACTGAAGAACCAAAAGATTTATGAGCAAACATGTATGGTAGGAAAAAGCCTTTTTGTTCAGGTGAAGCTGAGGCCATGATGGGAACCGACTAGATTATAGGTACATGATTTTTTTTAAATTTTAGTCTTCCTCTTTCAAAATCGTTACATATGCTGAAAATCAGTCCTTTCCCTCACAAAATTTCTTTGGCGTGGTAGGGGAGTACGATATGATAGAGGGTTTTGCCATCTGAGTTAGCTGTCATGTTTGACATGCAGTTCTGTACAATTTTCGGCGCTTTGGCAATAAAGATTTTGAAATCAAGCTCCTGCGCCCAGGTAAAAAGTAAGGCGAAAGTCCGTTTTCTGATGACAAGTGAACGTGGCGTGGACATGTCCTCGCACCATTGGCGGTCGTACAAAATATTCCGAGAGGGGAGAGGCACGACAAAATCTTAATGAAGAACTGCGGATGAGGTTCGCAACATCCACGGTGAGCCCCTTCACTCCTCCTTTTACACGGCTACATCTACTAATGTTCATGCCCGAATGCCCATTGTATGCTATCATGAAGAGAAACCGCTGCCGATGAATTTCACAGTTCTACGAACTTCTAGTTGCGTCTCAGCGTCTCCAACAATATTACTGTATAAGCGATTCCACTTCGAAGATTATTTAAATCAGTGCAATCAGAAGTGTTTGGGAAAAATTACTTCAGCAAGAAAAGAGACCTACCCCACTTTTAAAAGGTGTTTCTTCGCGTTCACCGCCATCTGAGATCCACTGAATGGCTTCATGACAGCTCAAAGCATCATATCCTTTAGAAGTGATTTTCACTTGCATAGTCTGCAATTCGAATCTTGCCTTCAATCGGTGTTTCCTTCTCAAGCTGTACTATTGGAATTCAGTACGCACTTTATTTTTCGACGTAACCCAAGATTCTCTGTATAGAAAGTTATATGAGTATTCAACCAACAAAATAAATTGCTTAGACCGTACCATTTTTCAATCCGTCAATGGTATGGTTTTCATGTGCATGCGAGGTTGCGATATCTTCTTTCTTCTTCCCCAATTAAGTTGTTTGTTCATCTTATAGCTCGATCCATAATACAATAACTCATGATTCGTCAAAAAGTCGCTGCACTCCAGCGGAGTGCGCCACACTGCGCTGCAGTGCGCCGGAGAGCAGCAGAGTGCGCTGGAATCCGCGTCGCATCGCCATATCTCGTTTCAGAATGAACGTATTTTCTGAATCCAAGGACAGTTCGATTCAGCTCGGCGAGACGCATCATCTTGTATATAGAAGTGCCACAATCTGCCGGGGTACGGTAGGTATACAGTAGACAGTAAGTTTTCGCTCAATTTTGCAATTTTTTGGTTGGATTGTTCAGCGTGCTGATAACAATATAGCCATTGACTTGCTGCTGAGGTGCATTGTGGGGATACTGTAAGAGTATGGTAGAGAGTCACTTTCACTTTTAACTCCTTCTAAAACCAGCTCAAGGTACAATACCGCTCACGGAATGTGCGAAATTCCCGTGAACGTTGCGGTTTCAGGAATTCCGCGGAATCACGGGAATCACGCAAGCTACGCAGCGCCATAACTTCCTTCGGAATGAACATATTCTGAATCCGAAAGCAGCATTGCGTTTAGCTCGTCAAGGCAAATCTTTTGATGTACGGCCCCTCGAAACTCCGTTTCCAGTTTTCTCAAACTCTTCTGCGGAGGCCCTTTCGCAAGGATATACGCATATCCTAATTAAAAAAAATTCCAGTAAGTACTATTCACTGTTCTTGTAGGTATCGGTGCGCTAAAAAGTACCGCAATGTTCTTTTCAAAAGAGATAGAAGCGTTGATGAATTCTGTAAAAATCACGCGTTTCCAAATTCCTCGCCGTAACTTCCTTTGAACGAATATATTCCGAATCGGTATAAAGCGGCGTGCTCAGCTCATCAAGGTGAATCCTTTGATATACAATAGATACCATAGTATGTCCCTAACACCTCTTCACTACTATTGAATTTTTCTGCGGACGTCTCTTCGCAAAGGTGTAAAGTAGCGCGCATTGCCCCTAGTAGGCTCCAGCAAGGATCGTTCGATAGCACCTACTCTGTAGATTACGGAGCGCTGAAAAGTAGCCGCATGCTTCCTTTCAAAGGAGATAGAAGGGCTGACTGTGGAAAAATCTTGTCGTCCCAAATTTCACTCGTCATAACTCTAGAATACGAAGCTACCTTACTAAGCAAATATGAGTTTCGTAATCAGCAGGTCAGGTAACCCCTATGAGCAGGTTTTCAGAGAAGTTCGGGTTCTTTAATTTTTTTCTCGTTTCACGTTCTGATGGACACATGGTTTCGACAAAAACCCACCGCTCGCCGGTGGGTTTCGGTCGAAATGTTGGCGATCTTAGTTTGAAAGGAAACTCTTATAGAGGTTTTCGGATACGCTGTTCACAAAAATCGTGGTCTTTGAGGAATACAGGGTCTTTGTGCAGAGATACAGTGAGGTAACGTAGCGGAGTCACGAAAGCTCATAAATTCGTCTACACATCTCGCGTATCTCTCAGAAAATTGCTTGCTTGCTTTTATAGTTTGAAGTTACTAGGAACTGTGCCATCAAATGGTGCAGTTTCAGGCTCCGGCAACAGTCTGTAAACATCGCCGAGTTACGAGCCTACGAAAACACGTCCTCACGGAATTTTGCCCAGAATGTAAGATCGCATACTTCGTCGGATTGCACCGTGAGTCGTTGTTTGACAGTTCGATTGCACATACTATGCTCACCTCGGAAAAAAATTGCAATCGGAATTCACACAACGACTCACGGTGGAATTCAATGAAGTATGCGATCTTTATATTTTGGGCAAAATTCATGAGGACGTGTTTTCGTAGGCTCGTAACTCGGCGATGTTTATAGACTGAAATCTAAGACTGCACCATTCGATGGCACAGTTTTAGTAACTTCAAACTATGAAAGCAAGCAAACAATACTTAAGAATAATCATATTCTGCAAGTTGACTAGTTTAAGCATTTTTAAAACAATTTTTTTCTATTTGTTGGTGCAAGAATTGTGCATCAACCTAATACTATAGAGATATAAAATTTTCCCTTTTCCCAACTAGCGAAATTTCCTGGATTTACTCAAAAGTGCAGCTCAGGATGGTGGTGGAACAAAACAAGATTACGCTTAATACGTTTCGGACCGCGAAATCGCGCGCGGCGAAAAAGAGGGCACTTTCAGCCGCTAGCCAACAAAGGGGCCTTAATTCGTAGACTGTATGCTACATCTGTAATCAGCATGTCAGATAAAATCCATACCCAAAGTTTTGAGTGAAATCGAAGTGTTTGAATTTTGTTGCCTGAGAAGGACTTCTGTGCTTTCCTGAAAGATAGGAACAAGAACTCAGCTTCTTATGGTATCCAAAAGTATCTATGTTGTACACAGTACACATCATTACTGAAACCACAATTTTTCTCTTCGAAACAGGAGCAAAGAAAAGTTGCGACGTCGCACGCGTCGTTCGCGTTGCCGCACTTCGTTGCAACTGTTGTTCGATTTGTGCTCATATCTTCTAAACAAATACCGTCGGCACAGCTCTACAGAGTCATTTGAAAAAAAAGAGCTTAAGCCTTCGATTTGATAACCTTGGACAAAAAAGAAACCTCCTGCAAACGTCAGAAAAAGCCTGCGAAGCAGCGTGCTGCACCATGTGCAGCACCGGTCCGAAACGTGTTAAACTCTACATTCGGGTGGTAGTTGGACAAAATAAAGCACTTGCGCGTTATAATTCTGTTTTAGTTCAAGTAGTTTTCTTCATTTTTTTTTGAAAATTCTGTTCTAGAACTAGGTAACTATAGAGAGGACTATAAAAATTTTCCCTTTTCCCAATCAGCAAATTTTCAAAGCTGCAGCCCAGGATGATGGTGGAACAAAACAAAATTACGTTTGAACTCTACTGTTCGGTGGTTGTTGGGCGAGAAGCATTTGCACGTTCAAGACATACTTTGAATCATTCGAAGAGCCCATCTCCAACTTCATCGAATTGCTGGCATGTCCCCCCCTCGGCCTTGTCAATAAACTATGATAGAAATCACCGTGCGCTATCTCCGCACAAATTCCCTCCTTCCACTTCAATATGCCAGCCCTGCCTCTACTATGTTTTCGTAGTCAGCATGCTCACTTACAGTCCCACTCCTGTGACAAATCCCAGCCCCGTAGCTCAAAATTTGGATAAAATTGATAAAATCGATGAAATTTAAATCGAACGAAAATTGGCCTAAGGCACCGACTTTGCCCAAAGTGTTTGTATGCAAAATTTGGTCCGGTTCGGTTTAGAAATGAAAATTTTTATTCGGAACAGACACACAAGCTACAGACAGATATACAAATAGACATTCAACTTTATAGGCAGTGTCCGGGCAAAAACTCGATTTTGAGATTTTGTGCTTATACGGGCCTATTCGCCATGCTGAATCCGAAAATCCACATTGGAAAGCGCGAAAACGGAGAAAAAGGGCTCTAATATAGGAGGGAAATCAGCAGGTGGGCGGGGCTTTCCCCAGTGCAATTTCACGCTCCCAGCTCTCGGAGCGATTTTCTCGATTCCGCTAGCCGTTCTAACATCGCTACCGGCCAAGTGCGAATGATTGACTTGAAACCGGAAGCGAGAAGGTCACTCCGGAAGCCGGGAACGTGAATTCGCCGTGGGGAGGACCCCGCCCACCTGCTCATTTCCCTCCTGTGTTAGAGCCGTTTTTCGCCATTTTGGCGCTCTACAATGTGCATTTTCGGATTCAGCGTAGCGAATAGGCCCAAGTAAGCACAAAATCTCAAAATCGAGTTTCTGCCCGGACACTGCCTTTAGGTATAAGATAGATTTCGGTTGCACCTACTTCGAAGCTATCTTTTGAGGAAATTATAACTTTATATGACCCAGAAAACTGCCTGGAGGTCTTTGGAATCTCGAACATTTGATCTTCAATACCCTATTTTCCGGAGTATAGGCCGCATTTCTTTTCACCGCGCGCGGGCTGAAATGCGATGTCGTTCGCGATGCGCGAAGCCGCACAAGCAGCAACTACTATCTATTTCGCCTGGTAATCAATACGGACTTTCTGCTTTCGTTCTTTATTTGGTTTCTTCGCAAGTGTATTTATTCGTAACAAAAATCTCTACGTTCTCTTTATTCTTCAAGAATCCGCTGAACAATAAAAGAACGTTCGAATACCAGTAGTAACATGGAATCGAAAGGTGATAAGCTTCGAACCGGTAAATCAAAATAAGAGAAAGCACAACTTCAGCACCAGTAACATCATTGAAAAAGGGAAAGCACAGTCAACCAGTAGTATCATTTGAGAAAGAAAACACAAGCTAAACACCCGCAAAGTCATATGAAAAAGAAAAAAAGTGAAGACATGACTATCCGTACTAGAACGCACCGAGTTTCCAATTTGCTATATAGCTCTTTTCAAAGGCGCTTTCGCGCCATTGTTCGCTGCGGCGGGTGCGGCTTATACAAGGTGCGGGTTATACTCCGGAAAATATGGTAATTCTCTTGTATGAAGACCTTTCGGCCGAACACCGTACTGTAAAGCTGGCTTCAACATTTATTTACAACCAGTGCTTCACCTGTGCTTAGACTCGCAGTGGCCATCACAGAAAGTCTTGAGGTGAACTCATGCTTTTAAGGCACCGTTCACCCAAAATGAAATCGATAAGATTCTGATGTCTAACAGTTGCTGGGCACCCAACTGTATATTTGCTCAGTCGCGCTGCCAAAGGTTGCTTTCGAAGCGAGAAAGTTGCTCCAAAAATTGCTTCGAATGACGGATTCGCCATGCT